TGCTGAAGGAAATTAAAGAGGACACAAAAAGATGGAAAGACATTCCAGGGTCTTGGATTGGAAGAATTAGCATGGTGAAAATGTCCATTTTACCCAAACCGATCTACAGATTCAGTGCAATCCCCATCAAAATACCAATGACATTCTTCACAGAAGTAGAAAACAAAATCCTAACATTCATATGGAACAACAAAAGACCCCAAACAGCCAAAGCAATCCTGAGCCCTCCCACCCCCACAAAAAAGCTAGAGGCATTACACTATTTGACTTCAAATTAGACTACAAAGTTATAGTAACCAAAACAGCATGGTACTGGCATAAAAACAGACACTGTAATCCATGTTTTTTCTAAAATATATAAGGGATTAACACATTTAACTTGAAAGCTCTCTCAGAATTTTTATTTTAGTATTTCAACCAGAGGCTCTTTAAAATTCCATTCCCTTTCTGTGTTTATAGTTCTCTGATATTTTTGCATATATCTTTCTAGTTAAAAGAAAATCAGTTTTTCCTTTATTTCTCAAAAATGTCTGCTTAAGGTTTGGCACAGGCTGGAATTTTATTCAAGGAAAAAATCTTAAAGTTTTAGAATTGTATAAAACATTTAAAAAATATTAAAATGTATGTGTGTTTCATACTTAGATGAAGTCTTCCCCATTTCAAAGTCATAGAAGTACTCACCTATAATGCATTTTTAGTGCTTTAGTCCTTCCTTCCTTCCTTCTTCCTTTCCTCCCTCTCTCCCTCCCTCCCTCCCTCCCTCTATGTACAGGATCATGTCGTCTGTGAATGGGGACAATTTGACTTCACCTTTTCCAATTTTAATGCCCTTTATTTCCTTCTCTTGCCTAATTGCTCTGAGGAATACTTCCAGTTCTATGTTGAATAGCTGTGGTGAGGGTAGACATCCTGTCTTGTTCCTATTCAGGATGATGTTGGCTGTGGGTATGTCTTATATGGCTTTTATTGTGTTGAAACACTTTCCTTCATACCTAATTTGCTAAGAGTCTTTATCATGAAATGTTGAATTTTGTCAAATGCTTTTGCTGTGTCATTGAGATAATCACATGGTTTTTGTGCTTGCTTTTGTTGATGTGGTGAATCACATTTATTGATTTGCATATGTTGAACCATCCTTGCATCCCTGGGATGAATCCCACTTGATCATGGTGTATAATCTCTTTTATGTACTGTCATATTTGTTTGCTAATATCTTGTGGTAGAGGATTTTTGCGTCTATGTTCATCAAGGATATTGGCCTGTAGCCTTCTTTTTTGTATCTTTGTCTTATTTTTTATCAGGGTGATGCTGGCCTCATAGAATGAGTTTAGAAGAATGGCCTCTGTTTCAATTTTTTGGAACAGGTTGAAAAGAATTGGTATTAATTATTCATTAAAGGGTCAATAGAATCCAGCAGTGAAGCCTTCCAGTCCTGGGCTTTTCTTTGTTGGGAGACTGCTGATTACTGGTTCAAAATCTCATTGCACATTATTGGTCTGTTCAGGTTTTATATTTCTTCTTTGTTCAGTCTCAGTAGTTTATATGTGTCCAGAAATGTATCCATTTCCACCAGATTTTCAAATTAGCTGATGTATAGTTCAACATAGTCTCTAATGATTCTTTGTATTTCTGTGGTATCTGGCAACTTTACTCAATTTGTTTATCAGCTCTAGCTTGTAATGTCTCCTTTCTTTGTTTTTGATTTTTGTTATGTGGATCTTCTCTCTTTTTTTTTAGTTAGTCTGGCCAATGGCTTGTATATTTTGCTTATCTTCTCAAAAAACCAACTTTTGGGTTTTGGGGGTTTTTTTTTGTATCATTCTTTTGGTTTCTATTTCATTTAGTTCTAGACCGATCTTAACTGTTTCTTTCCACCTACTTGTTTTGGGATTACGTTCTTGTTTTTCTAGTTCTTTGAGATTTAACATTAGGTTGCTTATTTGAAGTCTTCCTATTCTTTTGATGTAAGCATTTATTGCAATAAACTCCCTTCTCAATACTGCTTTTGCAGTATCCTATAGGTTTTGGTAAGTTGTCTTGTGTTTTTATTTGTTTCAGGGCTTTTGTGATTTCCTTCCTTAGTTCTTCTTCGATCCATTGGTTGTTTAGCATGTTAAGTTCCATTAATTCATATAGATTCCAAAGTCGTGTTAGTTGTTAATTTCTAATTTTATTCCATTATGGTCTGAAAACATACCTGATATAATTTTGACATTTTTAAATTTGTTGAAACTTACCTTGTGGCCGAACATATGGTCTGTCCTGGAGAATGAACTATGTGCTGATGAGAAGAAAGAATATTCTGTTGGTTTTGGATGAAATGTTCTGTATATGTCTGTCAGGTCCATTTGGTCTAAAGTGCTGTTTAAATCCAATATTTCTCTGTTAATTATTTGTCCAGATGATCTGTCCAGTGCTGAGAGTGGCATGTTAAAATCCCCAACTATTACTGTGTTGAGGTCTATCTCTTACCTTAGGTACAATAACAGTTGCTTTATATATTGGGGAGCTCCAATGTTGGGTGCATGAATATTTAAGATTGTTATATCTTCTTGCTACATTCATCCTTTTATCATTATATAATGTCCCTCTTTGTCTCTGTTTTATAGTTCTTGGTTTGAAGTCTATTTTATCTGACATAAATATGGCAACTCCTGCTCATTTTTGGTTTCCATTTGCATGGAACACCTGTTTCCATCCACTCACTACTAGTCTAGGTGTCTTTATTGGTGAAGTGAGTTTCTTGCAGGCAGCATATACATAGGTCTAGTTTTTTAATCCATTCAGCCAGCCTGTATCTTTTAAGTGGGGAATTTAATCTATATTCAGGGTTCTTATTGAAAGGTATTGCCTTATTCCTGGCATTTTGTTAATTTTTTTATGGTTGTCTTATATTTCTCTTGTTCCTTTCTTTCTCTGTTATTGTTTATTTTGCTGTTGGTTTTGTTTTTTGTAGTAATAGGATACATTTTCTTTCTCTTCTTCATTTGTGGATGTGTTTTACTAGCAATTTTTATTCTTTCTCATGTATTGATGGTGGCATAGATCTCTATATTGATTCCAGATGTAAGACTCCCTTGAGGATTTGTTGAAGGGCCAGTCTTGTGGTGGTGAATTCCTACACTTTTTGTTTGTCTGGGAAAGATACTATTTCTCCTTCATTTCTGAAGGAAATCTTTGTTGGGCATAGAATTCTTAGTTGGCATTATTTTACTTTTAGCACTTCGAATATGTATTTTGTCACTTTTAATATTCATTGGATTCCTCATTTTTAAGCAAGTTTTCATTGAAACCTCCCCCCCTACCCT